TCCTCTGAAGGAGAGCTGTTAACTGTTGAGCCATCTCTCCAGCTTCAGGTCCTCTGTTTAAAATGTCCCCGCAATAGTGCTGAACTTTGAAGTACATGAAAATTACTTGAGGATCTTGTTAAATGAAGATTCAGATTCAGAGGGTCTTTTTTTGGAGACAGGGTTTCTCTGTGTGGCTCTAACTGTCCTACTCACTTTGTAGCCCGGGCTGGCCACCAGAGATCCACAGGCCTCTGGCTGCCTCCTAAGTGCTGGGGTTAAGGCATAGGCTACCAGCACCCAGCTGAGATAATACATTCTCAGCGAACTCCTAGGTAATTCTGATAGCACACACCTAGAGACTGTATATGAGCTATGACTATATCTAATATACATATTATAAATATACTATTTCTGCTTTCTCATTACCGCTTTCTCTCTATTCTGTTTCTTCCATTCCAATCTTGCTATTCTTCCAATAAACCCGATAGAGACATCCACCATTCCTTCTAACTACAACATTTTCTTCCCAAACAATGCATTGCCTGTTCCCTCTTCTCTCTACTTCTTTCCCCTTCCTTCCTTCCTTTTTTTCTATCTTATGTGTCAGGATTTCATATAGTCCAGGTTGGCTTCCAGCCTGCCTCTCCCTCCCAAGTGCTGGGATGACAGGCACGTGTCACCATGTTCAATTTTGTGGCACTGGCTTCAGGCATGCTAGAGAAGTATTCTACTAACTGAGCTACATCCCCAAACGCTCCCGCTTTTTGAGACAGGGTCTTGCTATAAAGCCCTGGCTGACACTGAACTCATTTGGCAGACCAGGCTGGCCTCAAACTTGTGACAATCCTTCTACCTCTATCTCCTGAGTACTGGGATTCAGACAGGTGCCATCCCGCCTAGCTTATTTTCTTTTTTAGCCAGGGTCTTACTTACTATTGTAACTATTGGTCCTCATTCCTCGGTGTGTATGTATGTACCACCAGTACAAGTAACACAGCAAAACCACTGCTTCAAAATGAGAATGTTCCAACTTGTTCATCTATGTTATTTCCTTCTGGTTTTGTTCCATTCCTAAGAGGTAGAGAGCCACAGCTGAGTAAAATGCACCATGTAAAGAAGACGAAAGAAGTAAACTTCGATATTAAAAAACAATTTCAATCCCCCCCTTGCCAAAAAGAAATTAATAAAGAAGGCAAAAGACTGAATCATGCTCTTATTGAGGGACACTCGCCTCTGGCGACTGTCTCCAATCTTGTGATGTAGCTTAAGGTACCTGTGACCAAAAAAAAAAAAAAATGTCTTTAGCAGAATAGCCTTTAAATGACAAAAGAACTACCAGCTAATAAGTTCCCACTTATGGGTCCTGAAAATGCAAATGCATACTTCCGGATAAGGGGAGGGGGGAGGATTGAGCGTTGGCATGCTTGGTTCAGACTTACAGTTGTCCCTCTCTCTCAGGATATGCCTGTTGATGTCTCCTATATCTTTGAGAATTCAGAACTACTTCAAAGGTAATTAAAATTTGGAGACTTGTTCTAAACGGGTGAGGTACAGGCTGTCACATTCTAGGAATCCCACAGGCCCACACCCACAGATAATTCATGCAGAGCTCACCTCATCTTTGACCACTTTCCCTACAGGACTGTCTGAAAGGATGATTCTGGCAGCAGTCTAGAAAACTGTTTTTCTTAGTGTTTTTTTTTTTCAGTAATTAGAAACTTATGAATTAGTTGAGAGAACAGGGTAGTGCAAAGTGAGTCATATCTGTTATTTCTACAGAAACATCAAAGCTTGAAAGTGTGTGTGTGTGTGTGTGTGTGTGTGTGTGTGAGTGCGTGTGTGCGTGTGTTTTCTGGGTATCAAGCCCAGAACCTTGCATACATGAGGCAGGTAACCTACCACTGAGCTACGGCCCTAGCCCTCTTCAGGAAAACTTGACAATTATACTGAATTTACTATGGGTAAACGCCCCTTTTAGGTATTATAATGTATGTCTATAACCTCAGCACTTGAGAGGCTGAGGCAGGAGGACTGCTGTAAGTTTCAGGCTTGACTGGACTATAGAGTAAAACTATGTTTCAGGATTTACGCTCCCAATAAAGAACCACATGAAACTCACAATGAATTTGCTCAAGTGTAGCAACCCACGTTACTTCATGGCAGCCCTCCAAAAGACTTTATACCTAGGCTTAAAGAAGAGTAAGGAATCCAGTAGAAACCAGTCAGAATCCTGTTCACTGGGAATGTAAGGAGGGAATTCCTGTCTCAATGTTTTGTTTGATTATAAAAGCTTTGTGTATGCATGTTTTCCCCCTTCCTCTATAGACCAGGAAAGATCCGATTTCGAGAAGAATGGCTGAGAGACATTACTGAGACCAAACATATCTTGTTGGAGTCTATTCCTTTCAAAGTTGTCTGATTCTTGTGTTATGTCTGAGGACTCTTAATGATACATTAAACTATGAAACAGCACATCAAACCACATAATATTTATTGAATAATAAACTTGTGGTACACAACCCATCTGCATTTTTGCTTTTATTCGTTATCCATTCTGTAATAAGTTGTTTTCTGTTTTTGAAAAGGTTTTTGTCAACACTATATCATGAATTTGGAGTCTGGCAAGCACAGAGTTGAATTTCGAACAATGCTCAAGTTCACCCATTGGCCCTTAGCTGTTTGGTCCTTCTCTGTGCCTGCCTCCAGGCTTGATACACATTTTTATGGGTATGCTGGGTAACAAAACGGCAACACTTCTGAGCTCAGACTACCCAGTCTGAAGGGTTTGCCTACTCACAGACCTCTTCTACTGTAAGGTGAGCCTCACTGCCAAATTCTGAAACCGAATGTTTTGGCTTCTAGAACACATCACATGTTTATTAGTACAATGAACTAGGGAGGGGTTAGCACCCTTATTCCTTTCTGGTCTTGTTTCTAACGTCACACTGGGTCATCATGTATTCCTACCTTCCCTATGAGACTCCTAAGCTTGGTCACACAATTTTAAAATGTCCAAGACAAATTTACACTATACTTTGAGTGACAAAGACATACAAGGAACACAGAATACTTGTAACAAACAAGACATGTGGTAGGACTGAGCAAGTCTTCTATTTTTTACTATTATCTTTGTACAACAATTTAAAAAGGAGAGAAAACCCTGTGAACAACAGGTAAAGAGGTAAGAAACTAGGTAAGTCTCTTTAGAGAACAAAATGAAGTATTTAAATTATAATCATTCTACATAGATTTTAAATGGGCCTAAAGAACTTGAAGAATACAGCTAGAACCCTAGCCACCATCTTGTTCACTGGGAATGTAGCAAAAAGAAGTCCTAACTCATTGTTTGTTCAATTACAAACATGTGTGTGCACGTGTGTGTGTGCATGCATGTGTGTTTTTGCATATGTGTGTAAACCAGGAAGATTTGCCTTTGCAAACAGTGGCTGGCTTAGAGCTCAGGTGATAAAACACAGTTTGAAGCAATAATTCAAGCTAAAAATAAAATACTTTTAGCCTTCCACTCTTTTAAAGGATCTGCTATTAAAGCTGGTCTTTGCAGATCTTATCCAAATGAACTGACTCAAGGAATGGTAGGTTTTGAAATAAATTCCTATCTTTTCTTTCATTGACTGTGTCTACTCTATACAAGAGAAGAATCGAAATAAAACCCATAATACTTATACACCATAAAATTGTTGCATTTAAACTACATTACATAAGAAAAATGAAAACATACTCATCCAATCACTAGGATCCAGTTAACAAAAACTAATGCCCCTCCAGAATAAAATTTAAAGTAGTGATTATAAACTTTACATTGTATGACATGAGGATGTGTAGGAACCAGTAAGACTTGAAACTTTGGAAGCTAGTTTCCATGAAGTTTTAGGAAACTGCAGACTTACTAGACTGAGAAGAACAGATACAGTGAAATCATTTCAAGTTCAAAGATCACAGATGTTACTACATGCTAACTGCTGGCCAGTTCAGCAGCTGTGTGCTAAAAACACATGTTCCAAGAACATATATTCAACTTTTCGAGCAGTGATAAAGCGAGGAATGTTTCTACAAAGTTAGGGATTAAAGACACTGATTGATATAAAAAAGCTGAAGAGTTTAACAATGTTTAAAATCAAAGCTGATAGCCAGGTGCAGTGGCACACACCTCTAATTCTAGCACCAGGAAGGCAGAGGCAGGCGGAATTCTAGGAATTCCAGGCTATCCAGGGCTACACAGTGAGACTCTGTCTCAAAAAAAAAAAAATCTGAGTACATAAAGAACACAAATGAAAACATTTAATATTTTACTTTCATTATCATGAAACAGCTAATTAAAATACTGACATTATATTTTCCCTCATTAGCACTCCTGACGTTCATTCCTTTACATATTATCCTACCATTAAATATCAGCTTAGCTAGAAATAGTATTTTTATACTGGCACAACAATAGACTTCCCAAGACTGCATTTGATTTTTTTTTTTTTTTTGCACTGCTGGGGATGTGGCTTAGGGCCGCATGCATGATAACCACATGTTCTAACTCTGAGCTACACCCTGGCAGCTGAAAGAACTATCTTAAGTAATTCATTAACAACTTAAAACATCTAATGCTCACATTTTCTATTCCACACATCTGTGAGTTAGCCTTTTGGTTTGCTTGCTTTTAGAGCAGAGGTAGACTTAGCCCAAAATACATTTCTAGGGCAGACTATAGAAACAGTCAGTTTTCAAATTCCAGAATTGCTTTTTACAGCAACACCACCATCATTCATTTTGTTAACAGCCCATTTGTGACACATTCAAGACAGAGATATGCCATTTCCAAGTTCTGCTGGGGCAGGGGCAGACACTGTATGGAGCTAAAAATATTCACACCAAATCACAACGTAAGATTTAAACTTCTGCTGCCGCTGCGACTTTCTCTCTGTGACATTACATGATTTCACTCAAAATTTGGACTTTCAAACCAGAAAGTTAGGGTCAACCTTAAAAAGCCCAAAATAACTTACTAATTGTATCAACAAGCATCTTTTATTGAAGGACTGAAGGATTCAGAAGGCACGGAAGCACTGAAAAGCCATTCCAGAGCGCAGTAGCCTTTTTGGCTGGGCATAGTGGCACACATCTGGAATCTCAACACTTGGAAGGTAGAGGCAGGAGACCAAGAGCTCAGAGTCATCCTTCGCCACAAAGCCCGAGGCCAACCTGAACTGCTTGAAACCACACATCAAAAAATAACCCCCAAAACAAACAAAACAATAACCTTTTTATGCCTAGAACCCACAATTTCCTTTTTGATGTTAGAAATGTCCACTTGTACAGTGGGAAAGTCCTCACTTGTCATCCTTCCCTTTGGTCTTCCTGTACACCATCTCCCGAAAGCTGGCCAGAATCTTGTTCTCCCTCTTCCGTCTTTCTTCCTGGTTAAAGGATGCAAGGGCTCTCTTCTCGTCTGCACTATAGATCTGGTTCTCTTTCCGCAGTCGCACGGCCTCCATTCGACGATGCCTAAAGACAATTTTAGTTTTTAATTAATTTCTTACTAATAATTCTTATAGTATATCCTCATTAATCCTTTCTTAATATAGAATCTTCTATTTAAAAGGTGACAATAGAACCTGGAGATCGGTCATCAGATGATTATACATTTTATCTATCGATGGTCCCTTTTCCTTTAACTTATATCTAGTAGTTATGATCACCAATGTTTGTCAGCATAATGGATATTATCATTAATTTCAGATACTAAAGACAATTCTTTTTTGCTTATTTCTAATAAACTGACATGGGAAACTTATTAAATGTTTTAGATGATGTGTATTTTTTTGTTTGGGGGTTTTTGTGTGTTTTTTAAAAAGAGTTTCATTAAATAGCTCTGGCTAATATGGCTGACCTCAAATTCACACAGATCCACCTGCCTCTGCCTCTCCAGCACTGTAATGTAAGGCACATGCCACCATGCCCAGCCAGTAATAGTGGGTTTTGTCTTTGTGGAGTCCATAACAGGGCAGATGAAAGATTTCTCTTAGTTAACCACGTGTCACATTGTCAATGTTCAACTTCACTGATACAAAGAAGAGAATGAAGTGAAAATCTATAACTGATGAGGAATCCTGTGGATAGTTTAATATCCTTAGAATCCAGAAGGGTCATAAAGAAAACGGGATGCAGTCTAAGAGTTAGATCAGTAAAGTACAGAAGCAGAGGAAAACTATAATGTTGCATTCAAAGGGTCTGTTATTTAGAGAGAAAAATAAATGACCTCTTTTGTGCATATGTACCCAAGCCTACATAATTATTTCAAGAAACTTCTCTCAGAAAAACCAAGAAAGACTGGGTAACAAGAGGAGAGAATCATTTCAGGTTCGTGCAATGGTATCTAGGGATAAGATGGGAGAGTCGAGGAAATGGGAATATATTTAAGTTGTTTAGTGCAGTTACATGGTACAGAAAGATGCTATAATGAACACCTACATGCGTGTCTCTAGTCCATGGGCAGGATTTTCTCTTGGGTACCCTAGTATAGTGCTGCTTGGTTATAATGCACATGAGAATCCAACTTTCCAAGATAATGTCACATTGTTAATGGATATGCTACCAGCAGTGTTTAAGAGGTCTTGTGTATCTGCCACTGTCAAAACTTTGAATCTCTTCCTATTAAGTGGGTACAAAACAGTATTTCACCAAGGTCTTGATTTCCATTTCCAATAATCATGAACATCATTTAGTTTATATATAGGATACATATATTCTTTTGATTGACCTTCTGTCATTTCCCCGTATTTCTTTTATAGGTGTTCATTTAAATATTCTCATTATCAGCACTTTATCAATTGTGTGTATTGCAAAAGAATCTTACCTGAGCTTGTTATTTTCACATTTTAATGTCTTTTGATGGACACGAGTTCTTACTTTTAGCCTAGGCAAACTTCTAGGTAGCACATGTTTTGTTTTGCTTATAAAATACATTTTTATCTAAGAGGCACCCTCTCTGAAAGTATGTTATCTAGTGGCTACTTTTTATATATAGTGACTCAGTGTTCTATGTTCTTCTTTTAACATATAGATGACATTTTTCCTATTCCATTTCCTGAATACTTCTTTCTGCACAGATCTGGCATGATCTCTCATACACACAAATTCCACACATGTAAAACTGTCCTTGGGCTCTGCATTTTATCCCACTGAATAATTTGGTTATTCCCTATGCTTCCTAAGGCCTGCAAGCTTCTTAATTCTCATCTCTGATAGGCCACATCTTATTTGCCTACTCTTCTTTAGAAGTAACATGGCTAATCTTGGCCTTTCAGACTAAGAAATACATTTTAGAACATTTAGAGCATTTAGAACAGCTTTATTAAGTTTCATAAACTGCTGTGATTTTGTTTTATTGAATCTACAGATAAATTTGAGAAAACTGATTTTACAATATTGCTATTCTATCTTTGAACATGGTCTGTCTCCATAATTCTTTTTTAGTGTTTCTTTTTTATTATTCATCCATTCATTGGTTTTTCAGGACAAGGTTTCTCCTTGTAGCCCTGGCTGTCCTAGAACTCTCTGTAGATCAGGCTGACCTCAAACACAGAGACCTGCCTGCCTCTGCTGTCATCCTCCAAGGTGATGCTGGTTTGCAGAAATCTAAGATTCTGGGGTACTTTAGAGAGAAGGGTCCACATATATTTGTCTCTTGTATCAATTCAAAATAGCAGTTTTAGTAGATAGTTTGTAATCTTAAAGAAGCCACAGTTCCACATGAGTTCAGTATTGCTGCCCTTCCTCTCCCTGATTAGTCAAGTATTTTCTGTTTCTTCCATAGTCTTATTTCCTCATGCTGAACCTCACATCCTTCATGATCCCTAACTGTTACTCACTTCCAGAAATTCTGGTCTTCTGAGACCTGGAGGCAAACTCAAAAACCAACAAAGTTTATCTCATGGGTTCCCATATTCTTCTATGATAGATGGCTGAACTTAACTATATTTTCCAGGGTAAAAATTATACCAAAATATGAATACAAAATAAAACTGGAGGGCTGGGGAGATGGCTCAGAGGTAATGAACTGGCTGCTTTTCCAGAGGACCTGAGTTCAATTCCCAGAAACCACAAGGTGGCTCACAACCACCTATAGTGAAGTCTGGTGCCTTCTTCTAGCATGCAGACAGAACACTGTATACATAATTAAAGTCATTATTAAAAAAAAGTATACACCACCAGTGCCTGGTGAACCAGTTGTTTAAAATAAAACTGGAAACTAGTCTTTAAATTTGGAGATATTGTAAAGTTTGAGGCTAAGTTTTATACATAGTTAAATCTTATTTAAGTATGTTTTTCTTAATGAAACCAGTATTTGTGTGTGTGTGTGTGTGTGTCAGCATGTGTGTACAAGTATACTATTTTCCATTAGGACATAGTCACTTAGTGAAAACATCACCAAAATATAATCCTAGTAGTAATAGAGAAGGAAAAGAGTTAATTATGGAAACTGATTCAATGCCCAGAAAATACCTGCTACCACTCATTACGTAACCCGAACATTCAAATGATGCGATCTCTTCACTCGTCAAGCCAATTTCTCCTCTTCGCGGGATTCGCTTTCCAGCTTTCACATATTCAGCCATAGCTGCACCCTCACCAGGTAACAAAGCGTGGCCATAGCTACAAGGTAATTCAGAATTCACAAAAGACTCATTAAACTATCTCCATAGAAAAGGAGCGCACACGTCATTTTCACTCAGATAGTAGTGTGCATAACAGTACTGAGCAGCTGTGTGCCTGATGTGAGTTACTTCATTTTTATTAGAGAACATTATACTGTACTACTAACCTAGAAATGTATAAATAATCAGGAAGAACAAATGAACCAATGTTTACAAGTAAAAACTCACACCTTATAACTATGGGTTAATTAATCAGGTATTACCATTATTGTTTGTCCTCAGAGCATTCTCTCTAAAAACCCAAATAAATATCACAATATAACTTGTAACAAATAATAAAATAATGCCATACGGTAAAAATTATCTTTTGCCTTTGATTAAAAGAGATTTTTTTTTTAAAGCAGTTCAGTGATGGTTTCTTTTTTGGTTTTTTTTTTTTTTTTGGTTTTTCGAGACAGGGTTTCTCTGTAGCTTTGGAGCCTGTCCTGGCACTAGCTCTTGAAGACCAGGCTGGTCTTGAACTCACAGAGATCCGCCTGCCTCTGCCTCCCGAGTGCTGGGATTAAAGGCGTGCAACACCACCGCCCGCGGCTACCGATGGTTTCTTGTATTTCCTATTAAACTTGAAGTTTGTGATACACAAGTAATCTCTGCACTTACAAAATTTATATAGTTATAAAGATAACTATACTACACTATAAAAGAAACACAAATAATATACTGCATGGGCTGCAGAGGAGGCTCACAGTTAAGGTAAAGACATTTACCATCAAGTCTGCTGACCCAAGTTCAATCCCTGGTAACCATATGGTGGAGGAAGAGAACCGACCCCTAAAAGTTGTCCTCTGACTTCCCCTCCCCCATAAAAAATGGGTAAACTGATAAAAACTTTAAAAATGGCACTGAACACGAGAAACAAGCAGTGCTGTGAGGACTAAAGAGGGTAGAAGCTTTGGGGTTCGCCATATGCTCCTTCTATTGGAAGGGGACTTTGAAGGACAGTTAAAGAGCTTGTTTTTATTTTGGAGAAACCAGGTCTCCTGTAGCCCAGACTGGCCTTGAGATCATAATGTAGCCTAGAATGTCCTTGAATTCCCAGATCTCCCTGCTTCGTCCTTCCAAATGCTGGGATCACAGGTATGAGCACCATACTGAGCTAAGAAAGTCCTTTAGATACTGCAAATACACTGCTACTGGCTGAACGCACAGTTCAGGGTCAGCCTGCTAACCTGGCATGACCATACTCAGTACTGCAGAAAACAAAGCAAATAGCCTACAACAAAGAGAACCACCAAACCCCACAACTGTACACTGCTACTTACTTCAAAGGCTTATCATCTTGGGAAGCAATTGTTTTGGGAGCCTCTGGGCCAATGAGATCTGATGGTTCTTCTGCCTCTGCATGAAAAATATTAAGAAGCACATTCACAACTTGACTAATCAGTTACTGTTTCATGTTTTGAGTTAGTCAACTGCAAGAACCTACTTGATCGATCCTTCCAAGGATTCTCTAGAAATTCTTCTTGGGACTCTTTGGAGCTTGAATCACTGGAGTCTTTTCTGTTCTTCTTAGACTTCTTTTTCTTAGATTTCTTCCTGCAAGGATTATAATTTAATACAAATTAATTATTCTCATATTAAAAGGCATTCTTATGTTTTCTTTTCAATTCAGTTTTCTCAGTTAACCAAGTAGTATTTTACTATCAACAAGAAATAACTAAAAGATCAACAAAATATATTTATCATGTAGAAAGTTAATAGAAATAAAATAACTTAAAAGTTAACTCTCAGGCAGGAGGTGATAGCTTATGTCTGTAATTGCTGCAAAAAAAAAATCTTTTTGTACACTGTAAAGAAGTGTCACTTTGATTGGTTTAATAAAAAGTTAAATGGCCAATAGCTAGGCAGGATTTTCAGGACAGAGAATACTGGGGAGAAGTTTGAGTCTCCAGTCAGACATAAAGGAAGCAAAACCTGCAGGAAGAGAAGTAAAAGCCACGAGCCACATGGTACCACACAGATGAATAGAAACGGGTTAATTTAAGTTATAAAAAAAAGCCTAAGCTATCAGCCAAGCTTTCATAATTAATAAAATGTCTCTGTGGTGTGATTTGGGAGCTGGTTGGTGGGACAAAAAAAGACTAACTACATGTATTCCTAGCACTTGGGAGCTAGAGGCAGGAAAATCAGGAGTTCAAACACATCCTATGATATCTAGTGAGCCTGAGGCCAGTCTGGGGTTTATAGACCCTTGTGTAAAAAAAATAAAATAAAATAAACATCAGAGATTAAAGAGATGGTTCAGCAGTTACAAATGCTTGCTGCTCTTTCAGAGAACTAGAGTTCATATCCCAGCACATCAGGTAGCTCCAGGGGATCTGATGCCCTTTACTGTCCTCTCCAGGTACCTGTATATACATGACACATACATATATACACTTAAATGAAAATAAACCTTTAAAAAAATAAAACAATCCCCAAAACAAAAAAAAAATCCCACAAAAACAAAACAAAATGCAAAAAAAAAAAAAATAACCGCCACAAAACAAAAACGAGTTCTCATCAATGTAAGCGTTAATAAAAGTTTTCAGTATAATGGGTTAAAATACAGCAAATATGTTTAAATAGCAGCATTCAAAGTAAACTCCCACTGCTTTGCAATCTCAGTGATATACTGACTCTTGACAAAGACCATTAGTTTGCTAATATGTTAAAAAGAGACAAAACATCTGTTGCCTACTGATGGTGTTACATAGCACCACCTAGAAAGTATTCCTGGCCGAAGTTCCAATTTGAACCTTGCCCACCTCAAGATACCTTCCCCTTCTCTCTCCAAGAAATAGAGAAGACAGAAAAACATGCTAATTTACTCTGAATAACCAATTTGATTAGGGACATTAATTGTATTCTGATTTGAATAAACTACAGGAAAAAAACTACAGGGAATTGACTATTAAATTTTTTTGTTTTCTCAAGACAGGGTTTCTCTGAATAGGACTGGCTGTCCTGGAACTCACTCTGTAGACCAGGCTGGCCTGGAATTCACTCTGTAGACCAGGCTAGCCTGGAACTCACAAAGATCAGCCTACATCTGCCTCCTGAGTGCTGGGATTAAAGGTGTGAGCCACCACTCCCCAATGACTATTAACATTTTAAGCACAATAGAAATTACTATCTTTACTTTTCTTTAAACGAATACCTTTTAGAGAAAGGTACTAAATTATCAAATTATTTATGGAGGGAATGATAGCTCTCATTAATACCAAAATGATTGGAGGGTGGTAGAGATTACCCATGAGAGGGTAATAGGTCAGACTGAGTGTGTGTGTGTGTGTGTGTATGACCATTATACTATTTTACATAATTTTATCTACATTTTAAACTTTTTCATTAAAAAGAAAAGAAAAACTGACGTTCTCCGTTTTCTCTTTTTTTCTTTTTTCTTAGCTTTCTTTGCTCTTCTTTTTGTATCTTCATCTGAAAATTAAAGCACATTATTATTAAAAAGAATTTAAAGTTCAAAATCCCAATATTTTAACAGGTAAATATTCTATTGTAAATATTCATTAGTTGTTACAGAGAAATTTATTCATTCTAACATTTATTGAAACTTGCCAGGAACTATACTAGGGGCAGGAATCAAAGAAATTAAAGCCATGGACCAGCAAGATGGCTCAATGGGTAAAATGCTTACTATCCAAACTGACTTGAATTTGAGCCCTAGAACTATGTGGTGGAAGGAGAGACTTGATTCCTATAAGTTGTTCTCTGATCTCCACACAATTTATAGGCATGTATGAATGCATAACACAAACGATAAATAAATGTAAAATATTAAAGTCCCCACTAAGTATAAATAATATAGGGAATCACTATTAATTTACTCATTGAGTTAATAGCATTGATTAAATAGGAAAATGTCCTATTTCAAAGATATATATATATATATTTAGTCAAGGAGAATGACAACTTACTCTGAAGAGCTCAGCAACTTCCCCTATCCCCATATTTTATGCAACTATATCAAAATGCTAACAAAACTAATAATAAAGATGATGATTACCTTATTCCCTTTACTTCCCTGAGAATTGTCAAAGTTTCATAGTGAGAAAAACAAAAGCAAAAAGGGACAACGCTGTGCATGTAGCAGAGGAAGAGAATGCTTTCCAGAATCTCAGTGGAATGGAGGGAGATGGTAATGAAACAAGCAGAATCTGGGCTGACAGAGGAAAGCATGGAGGAGAACAAACTCTAACTGGTCTTAACAATAAAAACCTAGATATTAGGGGGTGAAAGCTGAGAGATCAGAGAAGCAGAGTGGCCAGTCACTAGAGAGTTCTTACCTCTACCAATGTTCAGATTGAAGGGCCGACCCTATCTCTACAAATCCTCAGACTGCTGCGTCTCTATGAAACTTCAAAATGCATCTGTCTCTACGAATTCTGAATCCCTCCGACTGCATCCTCCCACCGCATCTCAGACTGCATCCTCAGACTGTATCTCTGTCTGCATCCTCAGACTGCATCTCCGACTGTATTCTCAGACTGCATCTCTGACTGTATCCTCACACTGTATCTCAGATTGCATCCTCACACTGTATCTCCGGCTGCATCTCTGACTGAATCCTCAGACTGCATCTCCGACTGCATCCTCAGGTTGTATATCCAACTGCATCCTCAGACTGCATCTCCGACTGTATTCTCAGACTGCATCTCAGACTGTATCCTCACACTGCATCTCAGATTGCATCCTCAGACTACACCCCAACTGCATCCTCAGACTGTATCTCCGATTGCATCCTCTGACTGCATCTGTGACTGCATTTTTAGACTGTATCCTCAGACTGCACCTCATATTGCATCCTCAGACTGCATCCTTGGACTGTATCTCTGACTGCATCCTCAGACTGCATCTCTGACTGAACCCTCAGACTGCAAGTCAGATTGCATCCTCAAACTGTATCTCCAACTGCATCTCTGACTGCATCCTCAGACTGCATCCTCAGACTGTATCTGACTACATCTGACTGCACCCTTACACTGTACCTCAGACTCCATCTCTGACTGCATCCTCAGACTGCACCTCAGACTGCATCTCTGACTGCATCCTCAGATTGCACCCTCAGACTGCACCTCAGACTGCATCTCCGAATGCATCCTTCGACCGCATCTCTGACTGCATCCTCAGACTGCACCTCAGACTGTATCTCTGACTTCATCCATGACTGCATCCTCAGACTGCATTTCCAACTGTATCCTCAGACTGCATCTGACTGAATCCTCAGAATGTACCTCCGACTGCATCTTCTGACTGTGTCTCTGACTGCATCCTCAGACTGCATCTCTGACTGTACCCTCAGACAGCATCTCAGATTGCATCCTCAGACTACATCTCACACTGCATCCTCAAACTGTATCTCCGACTGCATCCTCAGCCTGTATCTGACTGCATCTGACTACACCCTCAGACTGCATCTCTGACTGCATCTCTGACTGCATCTCTGACTGCATCTTCAGACTGTACCCTCAGACTGGATTCTCAGACTGCATCCTCAGGCTGCATCTCTGACTGTACCCTCAGACAGCATTTCAGACTGCATCCTCAGACTACATCTCTGGCTGAACCCTCAGACTGCATCTCAGATTGCATCCTCAGACTACATCTCACACTGCATCTCTGACTGAATCCTCAGACTGTATCTGAGACTGCATCTCTGACTGCATCCTCAGCTTGCACCCTCAGACTGCACCCCAGACCGTATCTCTGACTTCATCCTGACTGCATCTCTGACTGCATCCTCAGACTGCATCTCACAGTGCATCTCACACTGCATCCTCAGACTGCACCCCCGACTGCATCCTCAGACTGTATCTCCAACTGTATCCTCAGACTGCATCTCTGACTGAATAATCAGAATGTACCTCCGACTGCATCCTCTGACTGCACCCTCAGACAGCATCTCATACTGCATCCTCAGACTACATCTCACACTGCATCCTCAAACTGCACCCCCGACTGCATCCTCAGACTGCATCTCTGACTGAATCCTCAGAATGTACCTCTGACTGCATCCTCTGACTGCACCCTCAGACAGCATCTCATACTGCATCCTCAGACTACATCTCACACTGCATCCTCAAACTGCATCTCCGACTGCATCCTCAGACTGTATCTCCGACTGCATCCTCAGTCTGCATCTCACACTGCATCCTCAGACTGCATCTCACACTGCATCCTCAGACTGCACTCCCGACTGCATCCTCAGACTATATCTCCAACTGCATCCTCAGACTGTATCTCTGACTGCACCCACAGACTACATCTCAGGTTGCATCCTCAGACTGCATCTCCAACTGCATCCTCAGATTGTATCTCAGACTGAATCCTCAGACTGAGCTCCTGTCTCCTCCCACCTTATATTCCTCTCTGCCCATCCTTATAACTCCTTTCTCCTCCTCCTTAGTGCTGCGATTAAAGGCCTGTGATCACAAGTGCTGGGATCACCTTTGTGTGGCTATGTTTCTTGTTTAGACAGAGTCAATCTCGTGTAGCCCAGGAAGGCCTTGAACTCACAGAGATCTGTCTGCCTCTGTCTCCCGAGTGTTGGGATTAAAGGTGTGTGCCACCACTGCCTGGCCTCTATGGCTAACTAGTGGCTTAGCTCTGCACTCTGATTGATCTTCAGGTAAGCTTTAGTTGTTAGATGACAAACAAAATATCACTACATATTTGGGGATATAGAGGAATTTTAAAAGCAGCCAGAAATGCACTGCAAGATGACTCAATTGATAAGATTGCTTATTGCTGGGCTTAAGGACCTAAGTTCAATCCCCAGAACCCACATGATGGAAGGAGAGAAATTTCAACTCCTCAAAGTTACTCTCTAACTTCTACACATATCCCGTGGTATGCATGTCCACATAAACACATATGAACAAAATAAATGAAGAAAAATGTAATAAAAACCATGGCTGATTTGGGACAATAATTAAGGAATGGTTGACCTGGAAGTGGAGACTAGTTGTTTTTGAAATCTGTGTATCACAAACCTACTGCATGTCCACTGCTGCTCAGAGTAAGCCAAGGCGAAGCCAGGAGTGACTAGCTCGGAAGGCAGAGGCCTGCTGTACCAAGTGACACATACTTAAGTGCAGAAAATATAATCAGAAAACTAACATGGCTAGAATTACGGCTATAATTCAACAAATTTTTTAAAAGCTCAGGGGCTAGAGTAATGGCTTAGTAGTTAAGAGCCCTGGCAGCTCTTCCAGAGGACTGGGTTTGATTCCCAGCACTCACATGGTGGTCATAACCAGCTGTAACTCCAGTTCCGGGGAATCTGACAGCGGAGGAAATACACATGGTGCACAGACCCACGCTTGCAGACAAAACACTCCCACACATAACATTCTGAAGAATGAGAATGCAGTCCAGGGTTTGCAGAATGACACAGCTTTCTTACCACTGGAGTCTGTTTCGGACTCAGAGTCACTGTCACTGTCTTCAGAATATTTCTTATGCTTTCTTTTAGATGACTTTTTCTTTCTCCTTTTCTTGGATCTTTCTTTTGAATGACCGGATTTCCTTTTCTTCTTCTTTTCATCTGTTGTAAGTACAAGTGAAAAATTAACTTCTACAGAAGGATTTCCAAACATCTTACTATATTGGAAATGATGAAAAGAAACAGCTGTTTGGTAGCCTGGGTAAAAGCAAGGTCCAATGTGCAATTATTTATAAACATACTTTTGAAATTTATGAATTAATTCCTTATTTTACAAAATTACCTTCTGAACTAGATGTTGAAGTAGTGCTTTTCTTTGGCTCTTCATCCTCTACTGGTGTATGTTCATCAGAGCTGAATTAGAGAAAACGGTTGTAAGAAATATGTTCCATAGGGCATTAAAATAAGCATACAGTTTTTCAGCAACAGCACTCATTGCCTAGGAACCTTTAAAGCATTTAAAATTATTCTTATTATTAATGTTGCTTTTATCTTACTTGTGTTGGCATTCTGCCGACACATATGACTGTGCCTGGTGCCCACAGGGGCCAGAGAGAGCATCGGGTCCTCTAGAATTGGCTGTACAGAATAATTACTATATGGGTCTTGTGGCTCAAACTCAGGCCCGATAGCCAGTGCTCTTAACCACTGAACCACCTCTCTAGCGCCCAAAGACAAGCCATTTTTGTAAGAGTATATTCAAGAGTCTACCATCTCCTTAATAACAAAATAACTTATATTTATATAATGCTTCAGAGTTTACACACTACTGTTAAAAAAGCAGTGTGTAGCTGGGTAGTGGTGGTGCACGCCTTTAATCCTAGCACTCAGGAAGCAAAAGCAGGCAGATCACTGTGAGTTCAAGGCCAGCCTGGTCTACAGAGTTCCAGGACAGGTTCCTGCCACACCAACTCCAGTGTCGTCTGTGTGACATGACATATGTCATTATGCCGGACAGGAGCTACATGTCCTATGGGACTAGGCTCCCTGGAGGTCAATGGCAGACGGCCCAGTATTAGCCACTGCTGAGGCATAGATTGTTTCTCGATTAGCTGGCTATGCGGGATATGGGCTTTGCATAATCTCTTTTATAATAATGATATTCTATGTATCTACAAGACAAGGATTGTCTCTTCACGAACAGCTCTGGGATAGGGAAGCACAGTATGGGAATGTATAAGACTACATACACGGGATGTATGATGAGCAAGGGAATAGATACGGTATGGACAAAGAGGGTTATATTATACTCTGAACTTTATGGATAGGCTTGCTAGATCCCAAACCCCATGGTGTCTGCTGCATAAGAAGGTACTAAAAAGTATATTTCAGCAGGTGCAGAGAACTGATTAGGTATATTTGGTCACTAGATGAGATAAAGAAAGGGTTAGGAAGAGGAAAGGCCATGATAGCGATAATGAGACAGAAACTTTCTATTCATAAGATGAAACCACTTGCCTGAGGTTTACATTCCCAAGGACAAGATTTCCTCTTCTAAGGATGCTTTATGTCTAACACCTGTTCCTGATAATATACTTTTCTTAAATATTGCTGATGTGACTAAAAGAAGCTTTCATACTGTGCCAACCAATGACACATGACCTTCTGATTTGTTCTTTGTTTGAATACTATATAATGAAAACATGAATTCAGTAAAATCACAGCAGATTCCAACCACTCTCTTGTGTGTTGTGTCTGTCTGTCATTCACCGAACTTGTACCTTCCTGATTACCAAGACCTGCTTCTCCCACGGTCTGAGTGGCTCCCCACTCAGTCCATGGCAGGTTCCAAAGCTACACAGAGAAACCCTATCTTAAAAAAAAAAAAAAGCAATGTGTAAGATTTATATTTTCAGAAGAAATTCACAAGATACAAGTTGAGAAATAGAAAACATAAGGAAAGATCAAGAAAAGGCAAACATGAAGGTTGATGAAAGAGTTCATGATTTTATTATTGACTGTAGGAATCAAACCTAGGTCTCACTGATCTATAACCAGGAGATATCCTAGCTTCAGAACTTTATTCTAAGTAGGTAAAGGATATACACTGGAACAACTCCCATCTCCCTAGACCTTAACAGACTACAGAATTAGCAAAATAAATTCTGAAAGTAAGCTTTTTGTTTGGGGGTTTGAAAACATTTTTCACATTTAGCTTGCTTAGTACGTGTGTGAGTGTGTGTAGGTGTACACGAGTGCACGCGTGCACATATGTGTCCACTACTGTGGGGGTCTGAGAACAATATTTAGGATTTGGTTATCTCCTTCTACCCATGTGGGTCCCGTGGATTTGATGAAGTTGTCGGAGTTGGCAGCAAGCACCTTTACCTACTGAAACATATGGCTGGCCTGCACAGTTGGCTTTTGAGACAGGGTCTCTAGTTCATGCTGGGGTTTAACTCTGTAGCTAAGGATAGCCTTTCACTTTAGCACCCCTACCCCCTGCCTCTACCTCTTCAATCCTGAGATTATAAATCATGTACCACCATGCCTGGTTTATTTGGTGCTAGAGATTAAACCCAGGGAATTAGGCATTCTAGACAAGCACTCTACCAGCTGTTATTTGCACAGCAAGTAGAGTGTGCACTGCTCTTGAACAGCAGCTGAGCTTGACTCCCAGTACCCATGCTGGGTGGCTCAAAATCACCTAAAACTCAAGTTCAAAGAAATCTGATATCCCTGGCCTCTGGGGGCACTAGCGCCTAGCTGTGCATACCCATGGAAACCCACACAATACATATAATTAAAAATAATAAAAATAGCAAGACATGGTGATACACACCTTTAATCCCAGCACTTGGAAGGCAGATGCAGGTGGATTTCTGTGAGTTTGAATCCAGTCTGGTCTACACAGTGAGTTTCAGGACAGCCGGGGGCCACATAGTGAGACCTTGTCAAAACTAGTAAATAAATGTAAACAAAAATTTTAATTCTTTGGGAGAGGCTCTAAAAAATTAAAATGCTTTGATGATACCCAAGGAAAGTTAAAATATTGTGTCATCCTTAAAGTTTGGAAGATCACATGCTATAACTTGGGTATTACTTATCAAAATATTTTTAGGGTTTCTTTTAATCCTCACTCAATGAGTTATCTGTAAGAACAAGTTTCAGATAATATCGCTTTATCATCCTGACACAAATTATAGGTTTCTTATTAAGCATACTGTCTCAAAAAAATCCAAGAGTGGAGCTGAGTAGGGTAGCTCACGCCCTTAATCCCCACAGCTGTTTCTGAGTTCAAGGCCAGCCTGGTCTAAAGAGCTAGTTCCAAGACAGGCACCAAAGCTACAGAGAAACCCTGTCTTGAAAAAAAACCAAAATTAATTAATTAATTTAATTAATTTAATTAAAATAAATAAATAAATAAAAAGAAATAGGCATGGGGGCCAGCAAGCTAAAGGTGCTTGTTGTCAAGCCTGATATCCTGAGTGCAATCCTTAGACTCCATACTGTAGAAGGAGAGAGCAACTCCACCTGTGTGCTAGGGCACACAGATACCCGCTTAGAAAATATTAATGTTTAAAAAGAAACTAAGAATCGACTAAAAAGTACTAGATATACTTCAGAGTATTAGATATAGAAAACGTTTATTTGAAATTGTCAAAGAACAAATTTAATTAATAAAAATGATGTCATCAGCATTAAGAAACATTGTTTTAAATAGCAGCATATTAATTTTAAAAATTCTTGGTGACCTTAATGTAGACTTGAAACTCTGAAAATCTAAGAGGAAATCCTTTGAAATACGAACATATGGGATAAAGAGATGGCTCAGTGGTTTAGCACACTGGCTGTTCTTTGCAGATGACCTGAGCTCAGTTCCCAGCACCTACACAGCAGTTCACAACCATCTGTAATTCCAGTTTCAGGGGCTCTAATGCTCTCTTCTGGCCTCTGCAGGCCCAGGGTATGTATGCAGTACACTTATACACAATGTAGGCAAAACACTTATAAAATAAATATTTTTTCAAAAAAGATAGGCGTAAGTAAGAATTTTCTAAATAGGATACCAGTTGTTCACAAAATAAATCCCCAGATCACAAATGGGACCTTACAAGATTAAAACCTCTTACACAGAAAAAAAAAATTGAGTGAAGAAACAGCTTACAGAATGGGAGAAAACCTTACATCTGGCAGAGGAGGATAACAAGAATATGAGGAACCAAAAACATTAAACAAGAAACCAACACAAGGGAGGGGGAGGGAAATGGGAGGCTGGGAGGAGGCGGAAACTTTTTTTTTCTTATTCTCAATAAAAAATAAATAAAAGAAAAAAAAAGAAACCAACACAATAAATGCACTCAGCCAGGTGGTGGTGGCACACCCCTTTAGTCCCAGCACTTGGGACAGAGGAAGGCTGATCTCTGTGAGTTCAAGGCCAGCCTTGTCTACAGAGTAAGTTCCAGGACTTCTGGGTCTACACAGAAAAACCCTGTCTCAAATAAACAAACAAATAAAAAATAAATAAATAAAAACAGGCTAATGGAATGAACAGATGGTTCTCAAAAGACAAAATACAAATGGTCAATAAACACATACACAAAAATTCAACCTCATTATCCATCAGTGAAATGTGGATGAAAACTACACTGAGAGTCCACCTTACCCCAGCCATTAAGAAAACAATTAAGAGCCTGGCAGTGGTGGCTCAGGCCTTTAATCCCAGCACTAGGGAGGCAGAGGCAGGCGGACCTCTGTGAGTTCGAGGCCAGCCTGGTCTGTAGAACCAGTTCCAGGACAGGCTCCAAAGCTACACAGAGAAACCCTGTCTCAAAAAAAAAAAAAAAAAAAAAAAAAGAACGAGAACAACTCAGTACAAATGCTGGTGAGGATGTAGACAACAGGGAGCCTTTATATACAGTCAGTTGGAAAATAGACTGATCCAGCGTCTGTGGAAAGCAGTATGGAGGTTTCTCAAACAACAACAACAACAAAAATAGATCCTCCACAGAATCTAGCTCTACCACTCCTGGGCATCTGCCTGATCTGCCCGAAGAACTAGAGTCATCACATCACAGAGACACACACACACAATGTAAACTGCAGACTATTCACAGCAGCTCAGCCGTGGGACAAACCAGGTATCCAGCTACAGACGTACAGACGTAGTGTATGTGCACAACATTTCCAGCCAAAAAGAAGAATGGAGTTCCACCATGTACAGGAAAACAGGTGCAAAAGGCTATCATCCTGTTGAGCAAATGAGGCCAGTCCCAGAAATACAAATTTCATGTTTTATCTGATTTGTGGTTCCCAGATTCCATATAGTCCCATAAGATCATGTATGTATGTATAAAATGAAAGAAGAAATGAAAGTGTTTAGGAGAACAAAAGGAAGCAAGGGGTGGGAATATGGCAATGGACAATGTTATATCTGTCTGAACTTTTTTTAATTCAGGGGTCAGAGAGGTAGCTCAGTTGATCAAATGTTTGTCACATAAGCACAAGGACCTGAGTTCAGATTCCCAGCACCCACAGAAAAATGATGGGTGGGGTGGCATTCACCTGTAACTCTAATCAGAGAGGCAGAGACAGCAAGATTCCTAGGGCTTATTGGTCAACCAATCATGCTCACTGAATCAGCACCAGGTTCATTGAAAAACTCTGTCTTAAAAAAGAAGGTGCTGGACTAGCAAGATGCCTTAGCAGGTAAGGACACTTTATGCCAACCCTAACAACTTGAATTATATCTCCTACAACCCTCACAGTGGAAGATAACCAACCCCTGCAAGTTGTCCTCTGACCTCCACATGTGTTATGTGAGTACACTCAGAACACCCGTGCACAGACTGTGTATGTGTGAGAGAGAGAATAAATCAATGTAAACTTAAAATATAAGGTAGAGAAGAGATCACAGAAGATATCTGACTTCAAATTCGGAACCCCGCACACAATCACTCACACACATGAATTTTCCAGGTTTTGAGTGTCTACTTTCCCCAGCTCACTAGCCCACTTCCACTCTCAGGAGGGCCTTCTTTCTTAATAAATTACCTCTATTTTTATTACTTATGCTAATACCTAGCAGTCTGATGGTGGGTTAGTTGAAAAAAAAGAAAAATATTATAAATATATTATTTTTAATAACGAATCTGAGTAGGAAATTAATGATTCATGAGTTATAATTTCAAGACAGCAGTTAAGCAGGGCATGGTGATCTATGCCAGGAATTCCAGCATTTAGGGGGTTAAGGCAGGAGGATTGCTGTGAAGCTGAGTTCTGCCTTGGTTATTATACTGTGGGTTCCAAACAGCCTGGATCAGGGAATGAGACCATGTCTCAAATACAAAACAAAACAAAACAAAACAAAGCAACCCCCCCACACACACACACAATGAATGTGCTAAAATCTACTAACTGTATCTGTAATTATTACCCATGTTCCATGGGGTTTTTTTAATATAAGGGGTAAAATAGTATAAATCATAAGAAGGCAAAAAAAAATTTTGGTAAGTACTTGAAGCTCTTCACTTAAAAATTTTGACAGTAGGGCTGGCGAGATGGATCAGTAGGTAAAGGCGCTTGCTGCTAAGCCTGACGACCTGAGTTCAATCCCTGGGACCCACATAGTGGAAGGAGAGAACCGACTCCTTCAAGTTGTCCTCTGACCTCCACCTGTGCACATACATACATGTTCAAATAAATAAAATGTAAGAAAATATAATTAAAAAAATTTGACTGCAGACCAGGATTTAAACAAATGCTATTAACATTTTAAAATGATATTTTTTTAACCTACTTACTCTGGTTCAGGATTCTTTGGAGAAAGTCCCCAAACTTCAGGAGCTCCCAATTCTCCAATTCTCTCTCTTTCACTTAATCTCCTAAAAGATATAAATATTTAAATTATAACTCAATGGATGAACTGTTTCCTAAACATATAATAAAACTCAACAGGAATCAAGTCTTCTAGTATTATGTTCCTCATATATCTTTTGAGACAGGATCTTACCGTGTTGACTAGGCTGGCCTTGAACTCCTGGGCTCAAGTGATCCAGCCTTCGACATAGCTGGGGCTACAGAAACACCTGGATTTATGTATGTTTGAAAAGTTAATAAAAACTTGATTTAAATATAAGCTCTGTAGGTAGGAGTTGATGCTCTGATAGTATCATAAACAGGTGTAAACTATAGAGTGCTTCAGTGGCAGTGGCAAAAATGAAAGAAATGGCAGTCAGACTGTCAAGGGCATCCCTTTTACTGAATGTGTGGCATAGCTTCTAAATGCCCATTTAACTGTAAAGTGTAACAGAAAGGTTTTGAGGGTGGAGGAGGTTGGTGTTTTGTTGTTGGTTTTTTTTTTTTCTTTTGAGACGAGTTTCTCTGTGTAGCTTTGAAGTCTGTCCTGGAACTTGCTTTCTAAATCAGGCTGGCCTCAAACTCACAGAGATCCGCCTGCCTCTGCCTCCCCTAGTGCTGGGATTAAAGGTGTGCGCCATCACCCCCGGCTAAGAAAGGTTTATATTTAAAAATAAATTCATTTGTTTACGTATATTTATAAAGTAGTGAAATCTTTTGATTTGGTCAAACTTTGTTTTCAGAAACCTAGGAAGTAGTGAAGATAAAGATGAAATAAAAATAAAGGGGATTCTGGAGAGAAAGGAAAATTTTCTTTAACAAAAACTGTCCTCATGCTCCATAAGGCTTATGACCAGTTTTCCATCCAGATCCTTTTAGGGGTAGGAGTATGTTCTCTACTCTTGGGAGGACACCTTTTTTCATTTTGTGTATGTGGCTAATTCTGTTTTAATATTTACTACTACTCATAAACTTAACATACAAACTCTGGGCAGGAGAGATGGCCCAATGAAGAGCACATATTGTTCTTGCAGAGGACTGGAGTTTGGTCCCCCGCATCCAAGACGGTTGATTCTCAGTTGCCTGTAACTCCAGCTCCAGGAGATCTGATGCTTCTGGCCTTCCAAGGCATCTACACTCACATGTACATATCCATACACAGACGCACATTCCTACACAGAATTCAAAACATAATAACCATGTATAGTGGTTGGTGCCTTCAGTCCCAGCACTTGGGAAGCAAAGTACGTCGGGTCCCTTTTTGTTGAGGCCAGCTTGGTCTACATAAGTTCTAGAACAGCTGTACAGACAGACCTTGTCTAAACCACCCCCCCAAAAGAAATAATTATTTGAAGATAAAAAATAATTATTGGGGTGGAAGCCTGAATTCCTTAAAGTGTAGTAGCTTGCAACTTACAGTTTAAAAATTAATCATTATAACAGAAATATAATTGGCTTGATTTTCTTTTAACTTCTTTCATCATGGGAAAAACTTGAAGGCTTTTTTTTATTTCGTCAAAATGATAATTTAAAAGGGAATTCATCTCTTTGTAACTGCTAGGGGAAGAATGCCTACCCAACCACAAAGAACACAAAGCCTCATACATGTTGCTCCTGTAATGTTTTAAAAGTTCTCATTTTTTAAACACATGCTACAAAGCCTAGTACTGAGCCTAAAACACAATGTTTAACAGACAGAATAAACTTCAAGTCATCTAAAAGTACAAATGCAAATTCCATCCAAGGAATTATAACATTCCAGTAAATCCTCTCCACCTGTTTTTGAGACTGGATCTCATATAGCAGGGTCCAGCTAGTCTTCAACTCCTGATCCTTTCTCAAGTCATGGATTAGAGACATGAGCTCACAAAACTCCTGGCTCACCGTTTGCTTTCCAGCCCACATACTCTGTGGGGACTACACCATGCTGAATAATTTAAATTGGATAATCAAGTCTCTAACAATTCAGAACTGTCTTACTGTTTCCGTTTTCACGCATTTATGGAAGTTAGTAGAACCTTAAAAGCCTTGTTACTAATTTCCCGCACCCCTTTCTGATGAAGAAGCGAAGCTCAGAGAGGTCAACTGACTTGCCCAAAGCTACCTGCTTCATGGCAAACAAAATCTTCATCCTCAGGCAGAGTGCCTGTGAAGCCTGCCCTTTTTACTATTAGACTTTATGTCCTCCCCTCCTGGAAGGAAAAAAAATATCACGAAAACATTTCTCAACAGTTAGAGAGTTTACTTGCCCCTAATGCCTGTAATGTTTTAAGTTTTATCCTTTTAAAACACATGGTAAAGGCCTAGTCCAGTGCCTAAGACATAATGCTTAACAAACATAATAAACTTCATAATATTAGCACTATGACTAATGCAGCAATAAATGCCTCTCTCTTAGGGTCTCACTCTCCCTCAGGCCGACCTTGAATTTATTCTGCAGTCCAGGCTACCTGCCCTCCATTCTGAATGCTGAGCCATCATGCCCAGCCTTTTTAACGTATTTTCTGAGACACGGTCTCCTGTATACCAGGCTGGCCTTAAACTTGCTACGGAGATGAGGACGACACTGATCTGACTTCCTGCTGAGACTCATAGCTGTTGCAACCACAGGCTTTTTAAACCAAGAACTCCATTAGAGGAGATCTGATCTCATACCTGCATTGCTTTTCATGGTCAAAAATGGCTGAGACCACTTCACAAAACTTTTCCTAATATAGCCTCATCCACAGTTTGGCAGAGTACTTTTCTTACATTCATCTAACCATCTTGCATAGAGGAAGGTTTCCTCCTACCCAATACAGACCCTTAATTAAATTCCTTACCAATTCCCAGCAAAACTTTCCCACTGACATCGTGTTATCGCAAGCTCGTCTGTTCCTTCATGCAACAAGCGATGGTTGTTGCATGCCTACCAAGAGGCAGGCACTACTAATTCTGTGAACAATAAAATAGAACCTCTACTTTCCACAAGTTCAGTTTAGTGAAGAATAGCGAGAAGCTCACGGATAATGACACAACCAAAGAACTACAATAGAGCCGAGGCTCTTAGCGTTTTCAGCCTGCAAAGACAGGAGGGGGGAAGTAGGTAGTGGGAAAACGGGGCACTTTATGAAGGAGTCTGGGGATGAATGAAAATTTAAGTTAGAAAAGGATAAATTAAAAGGTCGTGAGATGGACTGAAGAACAGGATGAAAAAGGTGCGAGGTGGGTGGGAAGCAAAATACAAACAGAAACAATGAACGACTGGCTGGACTCAAAGGCAGACGGACTCCAAGAGAGGATGCGGCGATCTCACTCACTTCTGCCGCAGACTCTCCTCCCTCTCCTTGTCCAGCAGGCTTGGCCATGGCTTGTCGCCCCCGTAGGGGCGCGAGTAGCCGCCATAATAGGCAGACGAGGATGCAGAAGCAAAAGGGGCACTCCGCTGCGCAGAGAGCCGCTCTCGAGAACGCGATCTAGAGCGGGAGCGATAAGACTGGTTTCGAGAGCTTTGGCTGAAGCCGCTCAGCGAATGGCTCAGACCATTCCGGTCACAGAGCCGAGAACAAGAGCGAGAGCGAGAGCGGCGACCCCGCGGGGAGCGGGAAGACTTGCTGGGCTTAGGGCTCCTCGACGAACTGCGCCGTTTTCCCCCGGAGGCCTCCCGTTCAGGGCTACGCGAGCCCGACACAGGAGCCATGGTGGTGGAAGCTGAACCCGCCAAGGGGCGGGACAAGGGGGCGCTCTCGCGGCCCCCAAAGGGTCTAAGACGCCAGGCGTCCAAGAGCCCGCAGCGTTTAGCAAACCAGGAAAAAAAAAAAGAAAAAAAAAAAACCTCGGAAACAGTTCCGGGTACGTCGGTAAACCCCTTCCCCTGGACCCAGGCGCCTTGCAGCCAACAGGAAGGGATGTGTGTATTAGTATAAAGAAGCCGGTCGGGAAACTCGAGCCACGGACTCGTACAGTTCCTAGTGAGGTTTCAGAAATGTAAACCGCGCGAACTCTAATACCTGGAACCCTAATACCTGGAACCCTAATACCTGGAACTCTAATACCTGGAGCAAAGTTACGATGAATGCTGTACATATTTCATTGAGTAGCTGTGTGAACAACACCAATTCTCAATGTGTTCCGTGTGCGGTTTTATTTGCCTGTATGGTGTGAGCTTTTGTATCTGTGTATGTATTGTAACAGACACACATACACGCGCGTGCACGTACACACACCGCTCCTTTTTTTTTTTTCCTTTGAAATCTGTGGGCACTGGAGAGAGGGCTAAGTGGTTAAGAGCACTGACTTCTCTTCCAGAAAACCCGGGTTCAATTCCCAGCACCCATATGGCGGCTCACAAACTGTAGTTTCAGTTCCAGGGGACCCGGCACCCTCACACAGACATAGGTGCAGGCAAAACATCAATGTACATAAAAGAAAAATAAATAAATTATCCTGGGCAGTGATGGCGTAGGCCTTTAATCCCAGAAATCGGGAGGTGAGGTAGGAGGATCTGTGTGAGTTCGAGGCCAGCCTGATCCACAAAGCGAGTTCCAGGACAGCCAGTTCTCCGTTCCACAGAGAAACCCTGTCTCGGGGAAAAAAAAAAAAATCCATGTATGTATACACACACACATGCGCGCGCGCGCGCGCGCGCGCGGCTCCTTTTTTCTTTTGAAATCCCAAACCAAAAAAAAAAATCGTTGTTTTTTTTTTTTTAAGCTTTGATCTAAGACCGTTGTCTTTCGGTTTTCTTAGAAGACATACATTCTGATAACTCAGTCTGTTGCACTCCGATTAAATAAACAGCCCAGAGGAAAATCTTAGAACTTAGTCCCCAGCCACCCATCTCTACCAGTGTCTCCACAAAACAAATTTGTTCAGCCCCATAAACTAGTCCATCATACACTAGTCCAGCAATACATGGTAAATGATCCCTAATTGTATTTATTAAGTACTATTTTAAGTGAAAGGGCATCCAAATGCTAATTTTGATTTGGGTTTTTTAATCTCTTTTGAAATTGAAATACAATTACATCATTTCCTCCTTCCCTTTCTCCCTCTAAGCCTTCTCATGTGCCTCCTCCTTACTCTCTTCAATTCATAGCTTATTTTCCTTTAATTGTCATTACATATTGTGTGTGCATATACATATACATATATATATATTCCAAAGGTGGATCTCTGTGAATTTGAGGCCAGCCTGGTCTACATAGAGCTAGTTCCAGGACAGGCTCCAAAGCTACAGAGAAACCCTATGTTGAAAACAAAAAAAAAGAAAGAAAGAAAGAAAGAAAGAAGACAATTAGTCGGAGGTCAAAAGTGCAAACCAGAATTATGTGGAATTCTGTGTTGTGTAGCAGACTCCTTCCAGATTAAAACCTTCTGTTTTGGAGAGAAGTTCATTAAGACATCGGATGTTCTAAAGCAGCCATTCTTAACATGTGGCCCTCCACCCCTTTGAGGGCTGAATGACCCTTTCGCAGAGGTCACTTATCAGATATCCCACCTTGGAGATACCTGCATTATGATTCATAACAGTAGCAAAATTACATTTGTGAAGCAGCAACGAAAATATTTTTCTGGTTGGGGATCACCATGACATGAGGAAGCATTTTGGCTGCGGCATTAGGAAGGTTGAGAACCACTGTTCTAAAGGGAAGGGAAAACTTCCATCCTATAAAGAAGCCAGTGAAGCTCAGGAAGTAAGCAATGCCAAGGCTGTAGAAAGTCCCTGACACGGAGCAGATACCTAAGCCCCTCCCTTACCACACATACTGGCGATATCTTTGAGTCATTTCTGAAACTGGAAGTAACCATTCACCCACATCCCTGTGAGTAACCCCAATAAAACTCATTGGCTCGTCAAGTTGGACTTTGATGGTATCCTTATTTTGGTCTGTTACCAGTTCCTTATCTGCAGTGAATAGACATTTGTTCATGTCTCTCAACTTGGAATAAGACTTACCAGGAAATTTGTTCTTCTTATTTTTTTCTTGTTTGCTTGTTTGTTTGTTTTTGAAATAGGGCAACATTATATAGCCCTAGTTGGCCTGGAGCTAACGAGATGGCTCAGCAGGTAAAGGCCCCTGACACCAAGCTTAGGGATCTGAATTCCATCCCATCAGAACATGACAGAAAGAATGACGCACGATGGGCAATGCCTTGGGGAACTGGAAGAAGGGGGAAAAGCAGAGGGCCTTTTACCTCGGGTGCATTTTGTTTTTGGAAGAGATTTCCTGCCTCCTGTGACAAATATCTGCATTCAATTTAAAAGACATGGTTTATTCTTGTTGGATGTCAGAGCATAGCTATAGAACCCAAGCTGGAGAAAGGATATATTTTGTGTATGTGCCTCTGTGTGTGTGCTTGGGTGTCTCACCAAGTAAAAGGACTTGCTGTCAGATTTCACAATGTGAGTTGCATAGCTGGGAAGAGAGAGCAAATTCTTGCAGGTTGCCCTCTGAGCATCATGTCCCAGCCACCCAAAACACACACCCAGGCACATACACGAAATGGATGAAATTTTGCAAACACATTTTTTTAAAGCACTGGCAAGATATAAATAAAGGTTCTGGGTGCCAAGCCTGAGTTTGACCTCTGAGAATCTTGGGGTTGGAAGGAGAGATTCAACTCTTTCTGGGTGCCATCTAAACCCATGGCCTGCAGGCACCTGCATACAAACCCCCGTCGCCACACATAGTTCACCACCGCACAGAAAATAAACTATTTAAAAACATATTTTAAAGCCTGGTGGAGGGCACACCTTTAATCCCAGCACTTGGGAGGCAGAGGCTGGCGAATCTCACTGAGTTCAAGGCCAGCCTGATCTGCAAAGCAAGTTCCCGAACAGTCAGGGCTGTTACACAAAAACACACTGTCTCAAACAAACAAACAAACAAACAAACAAATAAAAATAAACCATGTTTTATGACGAAGTGTGGCGAAATGCCTCGGCTGGTGTGTGTGCCAAAGGTAAATCTCTGGATTCCATCTCCACCTCCACATGGTGAAAATGGAACACAAATGATGTCTGGGTATGTTAACATTCCCAGGAGCGCAGACGCACAAGCACACCAAAACCAAAGACGACACTTGCTTAAGGAGGAACAAAAGGTAAAGGTCCAGTGAGGTGGCTCAGAAGGCAGAAGCGCCTGCTGCAAAGCTTGGCTATTTGGGTTTCATTCCCCGGACCCATGGATGGAGCAGCTGCAGTTGGCCAGCTGGCCTGTAGCATCACCAGAAGGCTCTCAGACAGACAGAGAGAAACACACACACACACCAATGAATAAAAAATAGTTTGAGAATATATTTTAAAGGGAGTAGTGAGATAGCTCAGCAGGTGTATGTAGGTGCCTGTTGCCAAGCCTTATGACCTGAGTTCTGTCCGTGCAAAGCACCAGGTGGAAGGTTTCGGCCTTCTCTGGTCGTATGACTTCTCACCTCCTCAGCCACATAAACACACATGTACCACACACAAAATAAAGATATTTTAAAAAAGATTAAAATTTGGGGGACTGAATAGATGCTGCTCTCCAAGAGGACCCAGGTTCAAATCCCGGAACTCACACATCAGGGCACAATTGTCTACAACTCCCGTCCCAGGGTATCTGATGCCCTCTTCTGGCTTCTTTGGGTACTACATGCATGGTGCGTCTACATTCCAGCACTTATCACCTACTAATTTAAATTTTTTTTTCCCCTAAGGTACTGTGTGTTTATTGGGGAGCATGAATCAGGTGATAAAGATTCCTGTCATCCATTTTCTCTGAAGTTCCAGTCCCACCTGGTAGAAGGAGATAACCTACTTGGGAGAGGATGTTGTTATATAATCTCCTTGCTGGTACACACACACAGGTACACCTCAACATGCACGCTCTAAAAAAAGTGTCAGAAAATAGCTTTAAAAAAATACCAGATACTGAGATGAAACTACGTGTAAAAGAACCTGCAGCAACCCCTTAGGATGTGAACTTCATTCCTGGGACCCAGATGATGGCAGGAGAGAAAGAACTGGGGTGGGGATGGTATCATTTACCTTCTGCATAAGCAAACACGCGTACACACTGACACTAACTAAGTAAAAGTTGTTTTACGGAAAGGATTTTTTTTTTTTAAGGATTGGAGAGACTTCTCAGGCAAGATGGCAAGTCTTAGAATCGGTTTAATCCCGGAGTTCCAGGTGGTGAAAAGCAAGAACAAACTCTTGCTGGGTGTCCACTGGTCTCCTCTCCCATGCACACACACACAGGCACACACTCAAAATATATACATTTAAAAGGTTTAAAGGGCTGGTGAGATGATCAGCAAATAAAGGCACCTGCTACCAGCACTCGGGAGGCAGAGGCAGGCAGATAGATCTCTGTGAGTTCGAGGCCAGCCTGGTCTACAGAGTGAGTTCCAGGACAGGCTCCAAAGCTACAGAGAAACCATGTCTCAAAAAATTCAATCAATCAATTAATAAAAGGCACCTCCTGCAAGTGAGTACTATCCCCACAAACCACTTGGTGGAAGGAGAGCCCCAACTCTGGTGGAGTATCTTCTATCTTATCTTTTGGGGATGGCAAATATAGAGCTATCTCAGTTAAGAGCACCGGTTGCTCTTCCAGAAAACCTGGCTCCTATCCCAGCACTCACAAGGCAGCTCACAGTGGTCTCTAATCCCAACCCCAGGGGATCTAGCAACCTCTTCTGTCCTTCACAGGCATTGCACATATGCGGTACACAAGTATATATTCAGATAAAAACTCATACACTTCAATGAAAATAAATAAAACCTAAAATTTTAAATCTTCAGGGAAAAAGAAATTACAATGTAGATTTTAATCACGAAGATTT